AAAATTGTTGTACATACTATTTTGGGCGTTCATAAATTATACTGATCTTTGTTTTACCCCCTCTGTATAATATACACTATAGTATATACTTACGTACGTACAGTTTAACGAAATACAATGTTATACTCTTAAAGGTAGGTACATAATAATTTCACGTTTCGCACCTTGCCGTGTATTGTCGATTCGAAGACAATAATATTATTATACATTCGTGTGTCATAATTCATCTCTCCCCCTTCTTCCTCCGCCTAGTATAGGTACCATGGTAATCACACATCTGCTTGCGTCCTGTAAATAGGTCGACGAATTATTGTTACATACACATGTTATTAAATTTTGAAATCTAAGACACGTACCTTTGCGCGCGCACCCTGTATATGATTACTACAATCTTGTACGTTTAATAATAATATTATATTATAGTCGCCATACTCGACAATATGCTGATATGGCGAGAACGGCGGCGCTCCGTCTAAACGAATAATATTGTATTATTTTACATTTTTTTTTCACAGGAAACCGACAATTTGAAAACGGATGAAAACGTTAAACACAATATATTTTCTAACGCTCGTAATTTAAGTCGTTAAAAATAAAATAAAAATATGTATTAACATCAAGCGACTGCAATGCTCGTTTGTGTGTGTGTGTATTTTTTTTGTGCGTTTGATAAATGTCAACGCCTATAATATTATGTGTGTTTAAACGGTGAAAGTAAAATATTATTAAGTTTGATGAGATCATATCCTGCGGGAATTATTTACACGTGTGGTCAATTGCGGCCTTCGTGTAATAAGACGGAATAATAATATAATATCATTAGACCCATTTCTCGAGCAACACCGCATCCAGTATAATACCGATTTATCTGTTCAGATATTTGCTGTCTGAGTGCGTATGGCTCTGGCCTCTGGTCAAACCATTAAAATTATAATAATATTGACGATACCAATAGTCATTTAAGTAAATTGCTTTGGCGTTCGTTCAACTATAAAATATCCCTCAAACCGAATGAGATGTACATTATTTAAATGTGAAAAAAAAATTCAAACCACCACATTTTTTTGTTAAGACTTCCGGACTGCAATATCCAAATAATGTATCCTCTTGAGATTACGAAATAAAAAGTAACATTCATTTATTTGTTTGTCAGTATTTATAAATCATAAAAATGTATATAGTTTTTTTTTGAAGTACCTACCTACCTAATAATGAATGTTGTAAAATGTCCAGCTTTATTAACAATGAGATTAAAGGTAAACAAATATTCTTGTTTCACGAATGTTATGTTGTAAAAATGTGATAAGTCTACTGAAGAATGATATTAAATTATCGATTGATGTAACAAACAATTGATCATTTTAATTTTTCGATTTTTTATTTGAATGAAAGAAATAAGTATCTGGAAAATACAAGTTATATTTGGTTATGAATACATTTTTGGATAATTTTGTATCATACAAACATCAAGTGAATAAAATTCTTTATGACTAATAATACTATCATATTATAAAGAATTCTTGCACTTCTATTGGCTTATCATAGTGTATTCCACTGTATTTACTTGAAGTAGGATCTATATTATATAATTAAAATTGTATGAGTGTTTATAAACCATGGCCAATGGGTTTGTATAGAAATATAATTTATGTATACTTAAAGCTAACCTACGTCATAATGAAATATTCAGTGGTGTAACTGATACGTGGTGTATTATATGATTAACTTAAAAAAAAATTAATATTATTATCATGAATACTTGTGTAGTTGTGCCACTTATTTTTAAGACAGTTATGTTTTGTCATTTAAGTATAGACAATAATATATATTTTTAGCTATAAATTATAACATTTTTCAATGATCGACCAGACGTAAATAATTTAATAATCAATTTTTGCTATCATTTTTAATTTGTTAATTTATTTGCGGTGATTAAATATTAATTGTTACCTTAATTGTTGCTGTTTATTTTCTATGTACCTATATAAGAATATTATGTTATATCAGCAGTATAATATGTTTTGAATGGGTATACCGAACAAATATTAAATGTATTACGTGACCCAAGTCTAAATTATTGAATGCTAATTATTTCACATAAATAACAAAATAATGTACCTATAACTCTTAAAAAAAGAGGCGGTGGCCGTAGCGTAATTTTTATTTAATAGATTAATATATTTTTATGATTTCAACTATATACGACGATCAATGCAAATCAACGAAATACGGCAAGCGATGTCGAGTAGAAAAATATAAATTATTAAATTATGTATAGCATACAGAATACTCGTATTCATAGTCGTATAATACTGAATCATCTGATGCTGAGCGTGGAAAAAAATTAACCCTTTTTACGACGTGATCTCGTTTACTCGATAATATATCCGCACTCATGACGCATCGTCACAATAAACAACTACTATGCTTTATTTAATTCAAATCGACCAGGAGAATAATAATAATTATCGCTTCTGTAATTCATACATACAAATTATGGTACATATAGTACTACATACATTCAATTGTGAAGGAATTATAACTGTATCGTTCTGACCACACAATATTACGCACATGAGTTATTGACTCGTATTTTATATGTGATGATATAATATTATTAAATAATTTATTAACTACTTTATATCTATAGAAGGTGATACAGGCACATACATTTGTGGTAAGAGTATATACAATTTAAACACAGTGGCGGGAGTATAGGAATTCAAATAATGGATTAGTGTAAAATAATATGAAGAGGGACAGTAAAATATCATTTTATCAGTCGGTCCTAAAATATTATATAATATTATTATATTAAATTCATCAGACACATTGAAATAGTAGTAATAATAATAATAATATGGTGGCCGTTGTGTTGGAGATTTTTTGACGGGATTGGTCTTATGGCCGGGCGATAAGATTCGACCATCAACAACAATATTATTATACAATGGCATAATAATAATAATAATAATAATAATAATATATAGGTAGGTGAAGCCGTGAAGGTATATACCTCGAACGCAACTTAGAACGTTCTACATACTAGATACCATAATATACCTATATATCTACGTATACCTACAACAGCGGAAAGAAGTCTTCGTCGTCGGTCGTCGTATGCGCGTTGTATAAAAACGAAAAAATCAAAGCGTTCTTACGGAATAGATAATATTGTAGAATACTCCGGGAATGAAGGATGTTGATTGGGAACGGCGGGGGGAGAAGGGAGGGGAGGGGCAGAGAACTGACAGAAGTTTTAACGAGAAGAATAATGATTAATGACGTGTAGGGAATAAAAGAAAAAAAAATAGAAAAAATAAAGAAAGGAAAAAAAATGTACAATAATATTTTATAGGTATTTGGGTGGAAGGCGCTGCGCACGCTTTACAGGATAAATGTGTGTGTGTGTGTGTGTGTGTGTGTGTGTGTGTGTGTGTGTGTGTGTGTGTGTGTGTGTGTGTGTGTGTGTGTGAGTCTGGACGAATGGACATGAGACGCCGTGTTATGTGTATAACCTACCTATATTATACTATCGTCATATTATTTTATATCGTGGTCAGCGCACTTTTGGTCTTGTGTCCAACATTTAAGACGTCTGATGTGTGCCGTGTTTTATTGGTGTCGTGATCCGCCGAAACGAATATCATATACTAATGTGTGTTATATGACGTATATATACTATATAGGTACGAGCTTTGCAGTTGTCGAAGTATTTAAAAAAAATAAATACACACTTGTAATATTCTTGTTTTTTCCATTTGTCTTATTCGACGTGTTAACAATGGTCGTTGTATAAACAACATACTACTTACCTTTTCTGTTATATACTATTATCAGTCTATAACTTTTCATAGACAACAATAAGATAAAATATTATCAAATAAAAAACGAATTTTAATTACGATCGAAAAAATTCTATAGATTACAGTTGTCTCTCTTACGTTAAGCCAACTCGAGCGATGTCCCCATACCTAATAATAATTATGATATTTTTTTTTTGTTGTATTTCATGTATCCTTCGAATTTATCGCTTCGGTAAAGCATTTATTGCCTTTATTTTTTTTTTTGTGAATATAAACTTCCTGCTCTTATACAGTTATACGATCAACTCTTTGCACTTGCTATAATATAATAACCTGCAATAGGTATAGTACTCACCTACACGACTCAAACGTATATTACACGTTTTAGTTAGTTATGCTTCTATATAATTATATTATATTAGTTAAAGCTCCAAAGTACATCATGTGCGTATGCTATAGAAAACATTTATTAGGTTAACTAGGTACTTCCATACACGAGTAAGTTGTATACTAGCAATAAAATTTCCCAATAGAGTTAATAATTTTATAGTATTCAATATTATGGCTAAGGGTCTTAGGATCCCAGTGAACACGTAAATAGTCATATCTGTTAATAGTTTATTGCTAACTAGGTATGTGATTTATTGTGGTATTATTTATTTATTTTATCTTTATGCAATTGTCAATGTTTTAATGAATTTAGTTTAACGTTATTGCTGGGTGTTTATTCAAATCGTGTAGAATTTAGATAACTCACAATTACTAATGTCAAGGAATTACCTTAGGAATACGAAAATATGATTTATATATATGTTTTAGGTTGTTTAATAGAAAAAATGTATAATTTATCATCATTTTTTTTCTTATCTTAATTTGTGTTACTGAAGTCTGTAAAAATAATAATACTAATAAAATGCTTATATTAAGTGCACTTATCGTTGAAAATGGTTTTGAGTCTAAAATTAAATATTTTATTTAAAGGCCATACAAACGCGTACACGCAATATACAATAACATTAAAGTATACATTATTATATTATTGATAAACCCTACACTAGTTAACAGTTACAAAATAACAATATAATAAGTCAGAAAAGGTTTAGTTTTGTATAAAAATATAATAATAACAGGTATGTTACCTACATATAGGATTAAAATATAATACGTTCATTTAACCAAAATTCCGTTTTTTCTTCACATTTTAATGATCGCTTTCATGATTTTTTTATGATCTCGTTCCATCCACAACAAGTTCGACTCGATTTTCTGATAAATGTCGTCCAGTTTGGTTTTCAGATCGGCCGGTTTGACGGATCGCCTTATCTTGTCCATCTGCATCACAAAATCAATAATCATCATCAAACCTCACAATGAAAAGACGAAAATATCGTCAAACGGGTGTATAATAATTAATATTTACAACAATGATCTCGTCGTCGGTCGCCACCTTCGGTGCCAAAGCGGAGTACACGACAGCGATGTACTTGTGCAGGTCATCTCCGATCGGTGACGATTGAATCGTGTCCAGTTTTCGTGACAGAAACCCGATAAGGGCCTTAACACCTGCTGGTGTGGCCACCACGTTCTCGCAAACGGTTTTGAAGCTCTGCAAGCTTCCGCGGTTAGCAACGTCCAATCGCATCAGATCCAGGTGACTTAAAATGTATAGTTACACAGTTAATACACGCTAATAATATATTATTAGAGTACCTATATAGGTACATTTATTGTAATTCCATATCGAAGATCGAGTAATATTTAAAAAGTAGATTTTTTTCTTTGTAGTTAGAGAGAGGCCAATATATTTTGCAGTGTATCTCTGATTTTAGTATTTCATTTCTTAAACGAGGATAGTTATTTAATATAGTGTTATAGAAACTAGTGAAATATTGAACTTAGAATTTGAATTGTTAAATTTATTCAGTAAATTAATATGAACACTAAACAGACTTTTATATAGTCACCTTATATGGAATATTTTCATATTTTCATTATATAGACAATTATTGTTTAAATACCGTCACGTGAATAACTCTTAAAAGTAATATTCTACTAAACTACTTCACTTAAAAGAATTTATAGCAGCATGATATGTAAATATTGCTAAATGTAGCCTCTTATTAAATAGCAGTTGCCGATTCATTTAATACCGTCATAATATTATGATCATAAAATAATAATGATTAATAAGTATTACCTTAACAGCGTTTGCAAATTTTCGGCACAGGCCAAAGCTCTTACAATTATTTTTTGCTGCGACGGTGATCGTGTGGTCTTGTAAAGTTTATGAACTTTCGACAAGGCTGCGATGTTGGCTTTTTTCATGCCCACGCACAGGGCAGCTTCTTCCATTTCCGACGGTATTCTAAAAATAACCAGTCAATAATAAAGCTCACACGTCATAAAAGTCGATTATAACAATAGCAATATAATTGTATAGGTACGACTTTTTCGGGACGAAACAAAAAGAGACATTTAATATTAATTAGAGGTCTGGACTAGAATTATACAGCCATAGTGTATAAAAATATTGACGACTTGGTGCGAAAGTGTGAAGAAACGTGAGTTTTTTACAGATTAAAGTACGCAAACTATACGACTTCATTTTATAATTGAAAACAAAATTGGACAACAAATCACGGTGGTACGAGACGGAGTGGCAAATGCTCAAACTTTTCTCCTTCTCCGGGTGCTCAAGGCTGTGAAACATATTGTCTTCTTATCGGACGTTCTTATTACAGAATTGCCAAACACGATAAATATTTTAATATATTTGAACAAGTTTACAATGTTAAGATGTGTGAACTATTATTCGCTTGAAAGATAAGTTAAAAACTCGCTGAGATTTAAGTTGACTAGAATAATATTATTAAACGTTGGTACCTACAAATGTAGGTACACTTGGGTACTATATTATACATTATATCTATATTATTATAATATATCACACATTGGCCGTTATCGGATTACAAAATGTCAAAGCTATAACAACAACACCACTCGACCAATCGTGTCGCCTAGAATATAATATAAATTCCTTCATATTTTTAAAAACCATCCCACTCGTCGTATAGTGTTAATAATACTATAATGCCAATAAAAAAATACAAAACTTCACTAGTTCGTACGATTTGAACCGTCTGCAACCACTGTTATGATCACCACCGCGTAATTATTGATTTATTCAAAACATTCAAAACTGTATAAAATTCGAAATGTTAATGCACCTCGTACATTATCGATGTGCACAATCGCTGCAGCATGTACGATTCGGTATCCTACGCGTTCAAAGTGTACACAGTAAATAAGGTTTTTTTTCGATAAATGTGTAAAATACACCTTTAGTACGTAACATAATATCCGTGCTTCGCACATGCAATAGACAACAATAACTCACTACATTATACTAAGGCAGCTACAAAGGCGTATTCGAGTTGTCAACGTGTCCATATATATGTGTGTGTGTGAGTGTACAGGGTGATCCATTTGACTAGCAACACTGTTTTTTTTTATTTTTTTTTTTGTGTACAATATTTTATCAAATAAGTTTTTCACATATAGTTTTTATGTCCTGATATAGTAAGTTGAATGGATCCCTATGGTTTGTATGGGGGAACTCTGTGCAAAACTCGACTTTTCACAATTCTTTCCCACAGTTGATTAAAATGATTTAACTCACTCGTGTCCGTTCAACCATCCGTCAAAGTGCGTTGACGCAGATTTTGCGCAACGTGAGTTGCCCATGTTACAAGTCCATGAAAATAGTTTGCTCCAACCTATTTTCGTCATATTGTTGTGGATCTGATTTCCTGATAATTTGTCGTACAAAATATCCGCCAAGCCCTTCGCATATTCCTATTAGAAATAAAATTATAAAATATTCCGGAGTATATAATATTATATTATTATTGCATGGAAGAAGAAATAGACATATTAGAATAGACTATAGGGAGTACTTTGAACATTGAATATTCCGTGGGATATCGCCGGATCGCGTCCATGATCGACGACAATCCGGTGACCGCCGTGTTCCAGGGCATCACGTGGTCCTCCATCAACAGGTACTCGAGCAGCGAAGTGTAATAATTGTACGGCACCAGAGCGGCTCGGCTCAGGTGAAACGCGTCGTCTATGATCTGAGCTCTGTTGAGCACGTGTATCCGGTCGGGTTTTGTTATCAACTGGATCAACAGGAGTTTCCAATTTTTTTCGTCGTAATTCACTCTGTAGAACCCTACGTCAACGGACGTATAATATATCACCACGATATAATATATTGTATCGTATTATATAATATTATTAGGCGTGGGTACAGTTACGTATATGCTTACCTGACGATTGTATATTGAACATTATCCATCCCGAATCTTCGGGTACTGTCATTATTGTATGGTCGTCCGTGGGTTTCAGCCAAACGCTCGGCGTGAGCTCTTCGAAGTCCATGTCAGGTCTCAGTGGTGTACGTTAAGCCTACAAACCATTTTATGTCGTCGGTATTTTGGGGTGGAGACGACAGAGAAAAACGTTTCTGCGGGAATCGTCATCAAGATGGTAAATTATACAGTCGATAAACATAGATCAATATTATTTACGTTGCAGTACCACCACGGGGGCACGTCATACACAACAGTGTCATACTATATAGTGAATGCAATTTTGGAACTATTTTTTTTTTCATTACCTGCGACACGTTGTAACAACCATCTCCCGTCGACTTCACTGTTATCAGTGGATACCCGGGTTGTTTCGTCCACGAATCCATATACGTATTGATCGTGACACCGTCTTCGATAACGTAGTCAAAGTCGTATAGCACGTAATCGAACGTATTCCACAAGTCTGTCGGTCCCGCTACCATGTAACTGTAACAGTCGTGCACGGGTAATGGGTATGTAGAAGTGATGTCCAACGACATAATTTATAATAATATGGACTTGATTAACCATCATAAATAAATCGACGTTATGAATTTCGTTAACTAATCAAATAGGAAACCGTTTTCGATGTAATTATTATTTATTGGGTATATCTTGGTGATTGTTATAATTTTTGGTTAATGTATGAGATCCTCTGAATTAATTTGAAGTAACTCAGATTATATTTGTTGCCAAATCATCGATTGGCGTTCGTTAGTTAAAATATAATTACACAACGCAGCTTTCAACCAGAACGGATTGGATAAAATGAATAATTCTACAACTGTTATCGGTACTTTTTCTGTGTACTCACGCATAATCATCGAGATATTTGTTCACCGCAATCCTGAAGTAATCCTCGCCCACCACGCATTCCAACATCCTAAACAGCGCCGCACTCTTGTCGGATGAAATGGTATCAAAAGCATTCATGATATCTTCGGGAGTCGACACTGCAAAGGTCAAAGGGTGCGTATCGTCATACTCGTCCCAGGACAGCGCGAACTGGTGCACGTTCTCTACAAACGATTCCTCCATCTCCCATTCAGGTTCGAGCTAAGACAATCGAGCGTTTGTTATGCAGTTTGGAGAACATTCGTAATTAAGGTTAAAGCCAGACTTACCATACTCGTTATGTAATAGTTTAAGTAATTGCACATGCCCTCGTTCAACCACTCGTTGTCCCACCAAGGAGCGGTTACCATACTGCCGAACCACTGGTGTAAGATCTCGTGTAGTATGGTCATGGTTCCCTGTATTTTGTCTTCCGTTTGTGAATCGTCCGACAAAGTTACGAAAAATTCTCTAAACAAAAATAGCAACGTAGCACAAACCATAAATTGATTTTCGCTTTATAAACGCACTGACCTGTTCCTGTTATAGAAACTCAGAATAATAATTTATATTTCACACAATTCGTGTACAATTATTACAACGAATTGCAACGTAAGGCATATAAGTTACAATAATATGCTCATCATATTATTTTCTTCACAATAAATTTTATTTTTATAAAGATTTTCCAAACTTACTCGTAAGAATTCAGTCCCCAATTCTCCATACTGTATGCATTCAGTAAGGGAATGCCCACCAAATCCAACTTCGGTAACATGTACGGTATTCGAGTGAACCTTTCTACACCATTGAGTAAGTTTGGTGCTTTCCCCATCATATACGTCGTATATTCGATGTACTCTTTGCGCGTATGCATGGCGATATTATCACCGTTTACAGGTGTTTTGTCGAAATCCGACACCATAAAAGCCACTAAATACGTGGGTATTGGCTTTGTGGTTTCAAAGTGGTCCCACACCATATCGCTTTGCTGACTGAAAAAAAAATTAAACATACCTTATATAACGAAAAATATCTTTATCCATTATCTTCTTGAAGAATAAATAAAAAAAAAAAAAAAAAAATAAAAAAATGACATTGACACGTTGTACCTATATTATTTTGATTATAATTTCATAAAAGGTTATACTAAATAATATGTTTAAACTTAACAAGATGACAGTAAACAACGAGTATCGACCTGGGGACTATAATGGTAGGCGTTAATAGTGCTCAAGTGAAATGTCAAACTTACTTGGATTCAATGCGTTTAAGTGGCATATTGGACAACGCAGAATGTTGTCTTTGCCTGGAGATCGATATCGTATAAGGAGTCTTGAATTTCGATTCATCGTAACATGGAAATACTCGCCTGGCGTATATTGGTTTGAACTGAGTCAGAGCTATCCACCTGTGAAAACATGATTATGACTAAGCTATATTTAATTGTACTGTTTTCCGACTAAGTTATTGCGTAACATGTATGCTTAAACCATTTTCATACGTGACACGTTGGTACGGGGGTGAGATGGGAGCACAAGAAAAATATGACGACGATCAATTTTTGAATTAAGAAACAATCATAGGATCTAGGTGTAATATGTTACAAACAATGAAAGTCTTTTGTTCCAAATCTCACATATATAAATACCTACCTCGAGTGATTGCCGGAGTCGTAGAAATATTTATGAAATCCGGTATAGTCTTCTCTTAGGATTCCGCTGAATACGACGGTAAACTTATAGAGCCGCGACGGCAAAATCAATTTTTCTAGTTTGACGACCAACCATTCGTTGCGCTCTTCGTAAACGTAATCTTTATCGATATTGCCCGGTTTGTCTTCAAGTCCTGAAACGAGGACACGGACGACACTATCAAATCCTTCGAGTTTAGGATCACCTCGGCCGTGTACTGTTTCGCCCTCACAACGATGTCGACTTGTCCGCAAAACGAGTTATTTTTGATATCGGGCGTTATCCGCAACTCGTAGGACACCGGTTCTGTGGTATCCGGTAAACGGTAAGCGTCGCATGGGCCGTCATTGACGACGTTATTCGTGTCTCCGGTGAGCGCCGCTAAGCCTTTGCCATTGTGAAATGCCGTCAGCGAGAAGACAAAAGTCAACAACAAGACTTTCGACATCATCGTTCTGTATTACTACTATTACGACCGTCCTCGAAATCCCGATGACGATATGCGACTAACTAGTGAGTCCCGCACAGTAATTTGGACAATGCTGAGACATGTCGGTGTATAATATATATAATAATCGTAAAGCTTATCGGTGGATTAGACTCGTTCGGCTTAAACCATAATCCCGACTGAAGTGCGTAATACGTACCTATATTGTATATACATATAATTTATTATTTGCAGTTATGATTTAGCGTAGAACAATACAGACAATACTAAGACTTTTCTATATGAAATTCGTTTGGAAATTCTTACTACAAAATCATTTGTGAAAATTTGACATTTGCTTGGAAATAAAATTAAAATATATTTTCAGAGTAAAAGGTATATTTGACCGATAAAACATGCATTGCCGGGGTATAGACGATGTAAGCTTAAACAACTGGTTGTAAACTTTATCGCGTTGTCAATTATTCACATGCACGTCAATAAAGGTACTGCACTACAACTATAGTATAGAACAAAGAAATAAAGTGTTGTTTTTAATGTGTTCGTACATTAATATTGTCTACAAATAGAATTTGAGTAGTGCGTTTGAGGTAGAATTTTTCTTTTCTTATTTGACCTTAAACAAAGGATTCAAATAAATATGTCATTACTGATTGCTATTAAATCAATAAATCTTTGTTTAAATCATAGTATACTTCAAACATTAGTTTATAAATGTACTAAAATATTTAAATTTGTGTTAGGTAGCTTAAAAAATATGAACACTTATCATTTTTAATTAATTCAACAATTGAGACTATAAATTGATGATACTATTAAATTTCAAAATTACTTAAATATTTTTGGTTAAATAGTTGTGAATTAATTATATTCAAAGATTTGTGATCGCTTTGTATTCATTATGAATTATGAATCGTAGATGTATTATTTTGTCAATTTTTAGAGTCTTGGAAATCGGCACGGGACATGTAATTTAAAGGCCAAATGTGTTTCTTAGTTTATAAATGTTGAATTATTTAATGATTCGCTGTTTTAATGTAATCCAATCGTAATGATGGATCCAAAAAAAATATATTTCCTTGTGGAAATACTGATGGCTTACTTCTAATCAATTTAGATAATAGTATTACTTTAATATTCATGTCTGATACAATACGATATAATAATTAATATGATTAAAATTTAATTTATTTTAATGTTTATACACACATTGCAATTATGTGAAAAACAGTCATAACTATGAAAAAATAAATGTTTTTTTTTGTAATAAAATTGAAGTAAATATAATTAAATTGAAATGTGAAGAGTTAACGATAATGATTTCATTGGTCCCAATAAATCATTAGGTAATATAATAAATGTAAAAAACAAAAACACGAGTATTTATGGAACATTGAATAATATTTAAATAATGCACACCTCCTACTCATTTAAATATAAGGGTAATAATCTAATATTCGATATGTTATATGATGGCTATAATGGATAATTTATCAAAAATGTAAATTTATTACATTGTAATTAAATCTACTGTCACAGTCACGCGTACCCATTTACTTAAAAACGAGTAATAGGATTGCAAAATATAACAGAGAACAAAATATGGTAAGTTGTGTTCTAGTGTGATTACCTACATTGTATTTAATTTCTATTAAAAAATTATATTAAGTAATAACAGTTATCGAATGACGGCCATGTCGATAATGTTCTGGATTAATAATGTCGCAAAAACGTAGGCGGCTGATCGCACCGAATATTATGTAGTAGGTCGTGATTTGTGATAAGAACGCACTCGTTTGTGCAATAATAATGTATTATATTGTGATTTCTGAGCGCGTTATGACATGTTTTATTTATTATTATGAACGTTTTTTTTTTTTTGTAATAACTTTTTAAATAATATTTGTTTCCACAAGAAAATATACAGTATCAGATTCTATGACTAAAAACACACTACGTACAAAAATTGAAATTCAACCATTTGGAGTGTTTCTTTGACCATTCGGGGAACCACTTCGATCAATCAAAGCCCCCTAGTGCAACAACAATTATTGAAACGTGGTCGACTCTTTTCGCTCAATCATTACCAGCTGGATGCATCTCAATTAAGGAATAAAATTATGTAAATTGCTACACACTTTGTTAAATGTGAAAAAAAGTGTTAAATATAAAGAGAGTCGGATGGGATCCTGCAGATCGGGTAAGTGCAAATTTGTTTGAGAAAAATTATCATTATAAGTTACAAATAAGTATTCTTAGTCAATGATAAGAAAGTCTTTCCAAAAACATTTTCAATAATAGCATCGTTCCACTCAGAATAAAAAAATAAAAAATCATAATATAGGTACAATAATATTAATGGTACACATAATATTTCTTACATTTTATTATTTAATTAATAAGGAAAAACAAGAAGGCGATAAAATCACGGGGTTTTAGGTGATAAAAATTGCAAGGAGTTCGGGGGCATGTAAACATAGGTGCAAGGATGTTCGACAAATTGCTGTCAGTCGGCAGGAAAATAGTATAATAGTTAACATTTTGTTAAATAGACGGTCAGAGGGAAGAGAGAGAAAAATTTTTAGAATTGGCTCGTATTATGACTTATACAATTTAAATATTTACCATTATACATGTCATATGTGCAAAAATAATATATTAGTGATGAACTTAAAAACAATTAATGGTTGTCGTTCGGATTATTACGAGCAAAGGTTATGAAAATGAACTAATATTAATGGAACAATATGTTATATGTATGAATTCCATACAACCATATGGTTAAAGGAAAATGAAACAGCATTAATTATTTTCTGTAAAAACTGTGCCTTCCAATTTCAATAATAAACCAAAAATAATGGCACCAACGAAGGCATGGTACTGCACTGATTTCACTGATATTAAATTTAATATGTATATGATAATATAGTGTCGGCGCCAGGTCGGCAGTCAGATCTTGTTAGAAATAATACAACAGTAGTGAACAGCTCTGTTTCGGGTGGTGACTTTTGCGAGCCCGGGCCATTCTAGAGAAATAAATTATCACTAAGACTCAACGTATACTATATACATACCGACCAATTATATTATAATATCAACGAACCCATGTATGTATAGACATGTAGTATATAGGTAGGTAGAAGTGCATACCATTATACCAAATATTATAATATTATGGACTATTTTGCACTATATTGAACACTTGGGTATTTCATTTTATTACATAAACTATAATAGTACTATACTGTTTATGCACTCTCTTTTATACACACACACACACGCGTACGATTATCTTGTAGAATATGAAAAGAAACTAATAATAATAAATTATAATTATAGTATGGTCTTTAGAACAATTACGGGCGACGATATCGAATTACACGACCACCGCGGTGACCTTTTTACTCTCTCACGTGTTACGTGTATAATATAATACATAATGTATTTACTACACTACTATACAGACTTTTCGATACCTAAACCTTTGTGTAATTCAATTAAGCTATTTATAAACAGTATGTTCCCTACAAAATTTCAGCGAATGTGTTTATTTCAGTATGTTGTAACTTGTAACATATATTCGCAATAATTTTTTCTCGTTTCGTCGTCAGTTCTCATCGTAATTTCAAGTAGGTACTTACAGTATTTTATGTTTTTTTTTTTTTTTTTTAATTTCCACGTTGCTCCGGGAATATTAAAAACTGTGAAAAATTTAATTTTTTTTTCAGTTATTAATTTTTTTTTATTATTATAGACAGACGCACGTCGCTATAGATGTATATATATTTTGCGTATGTAGCTATTATTATAATAATTTCAAAATGCATTATATAGTCTTATACCATTATTATAATATATGGTGCAGAATAGTTATTGATCTAACACAAAAAATTCAAAAGGTAGATACTAATCTATATTCTATATATTAGGTACCTATAGTACATACATTATGCACTTGGAACTTAACTACTGATGGAATGTTTTGTTTTAGATATTTTTGTGAGGAAACTAAAATAAAAATCTAATACAAAGTGAAACAACTGTTTGTTATTTATTTATTGTGATCCTAACACCAGAAACACCAACAAAATATTCCTATAAATTACAATATACACCTATTATAGGTTAAGAACACCGAAAAATAGCGGTTCTACATTAATTTGATACACATTCATTAGAATAGACGTACAACAACGTCAACACTTATAAAAAAAATGTTCGTATTAAATTGTTGTATTTACAAGGTTTACCTATTGCTTGTTATATTTTTTTTTTTTTATTGATATAATATCAAATCAGTGAATTTCAATGGTACCCATCGATTCCACTAATATACAATATACAAATTTCAATTGAAACCTCATGTTTTGTTTTTTTATATTCATAAGCCATAAGTGCTTTTTTAAATTTAAATCTCTATGATTCCCGTGCATTCCAGCGTGTTTCTGAGAACAACCCATCCAACGCTGCTGCAATTAATTATTTGTGATTAAACCATTATCATCGTTAAATTGAGGAAAAAAATTTAGAAAATTAATTGGATTTTTTTATGATTATTATTCTGATTCTGGTTGATTTTGAACTTTTGAGAATTATTTTATAAAATAATCAAGAAAAATTATATTAATTAGTTTAATGTCTGATAAACTTGTTTTTAACTTTATTTTCGCTGCATAGGTAGCTTTAAACATATTATTATTATTATGAATTTATAGTTTATACTTACCTTTAGATCTTCGAGAAAATTAACTTCTGTTTTGTGTATTATTTGTATATTGATGAAAGACTTTGAATTTTTTAACACAAGATCAAAGAATAACATATATTTTAATGTTCATATAGTTGTGTTACATAACATATTAAATATAAATAGTATAATTAAGTCAGTTATAGGATTATAAGACAATAATTTGCCTTCGAACAATGAATTTTTAGTAGAAAATTGGTTTATTAAAGTATATTTATTAGATATTTTTACAAATTTAAGTGGCACATAAAACCAATCAGCGAGTAAAAATGTTCAAAAATGTATAATAATATACTTAAATAGTTAATTATGAACACTACATGTTTTATATAAATACAAATTATCAGTTTTAATTTGTAAATGTAAATGTAAATGCACATGTAGGTTAGTGTAATATTTAAGCTCTGGCCAATTTTTTAATAAAACAATTTCGATCAATGATTTCTTCGGAGTTTTGAACTAATTAAGTTGAAATATTCTTAAAAATAATCTAGATTTTGCAATATACTTTTGGTTTTTTAAAAATAAGTGCTTACTATGGATATTCATACAAATCGTTTCACCGTTATTCTGATATCATATTTTCGGAATCGTTCGATATTTCTTCTCCTCTCTCTAGAAGAAGCTTATTTTAAATCAAAAAATTACTTTTATAATCTAATGCTTAAAATTTCTAAATAAAATTGTCTAAGCGTAAAAACTTGATCGCATACGGAGGTATATAATTTAATAAATCAATCATTTGCAAAATATTGTAAAACCAATTATACCATCCACGATACGATTTGAACATTTTATCTAATTTACGAAAATGTGTGATATATTTCTCGTTAAAAAAACATTATTATGTTATATACATTTAAGAATATATTTAGATTATGTTTACAAGCAGTTTAACCGACACAGACAGCGCTAAAATCTGCAAAATAATGGCATAGTTATGCAATCTAGAGGAAGCACTAGAATCGTCTTCCGACGTGCTCTGCGGAGTCGTATACTGCTGCGATGGATCCAGTGCCAATCCTTTCGACAAAGGATTTATGTACTCCCAAATCGCTTCTGGACTACCATTGTCGTACCATTTTACGTTGTCCTCGATTTCTCTCTGATACACAGAGACGAGTGCATTTCTATATTCAACGGGTGTATTGCTTCTAAACGCCATTTCCATAATCTAAAACCGAACATTTTTACATGATTAGAATATCACAGATTTATTAGAACTTTTAAACAACTGTAGATTTATAATGTAACTTATACCTACTGGTTGTTATCTAAAAAAAAAAATCACCCAGAAGGTGGTTAATTCACATATTGTGTGAACTGCTAAGAATGGTCTTTCTGTAGCTGTGTATATTATAGCCTGAAGTGTGCAGAATGCAGATGTGTATTTATACGTTTGTAAATGGCACATTATAAATACAAATTGACTGTCATAATGGACTTCAACTTAAATTATCTCGAATGGTATGTTAAATAATTGTAATAGGTAGGTAGTAGAAATGATAGAACAACATTATTATTAGATAGGTAATGTACTTACTATTATATAAGTGTTTAGTGCATATTGCGATAGCTATTAAATGCACAATATCTATATATATAAAAAAAAGTGGACCGATCTTGATGACATTTTTTCACTGTGTGTATTTTGGTCCAACTTAGAACATAGGCTAATTTAAAAAGGGAGAGGACCAACCCCGGGAGGTGCTCAAAAGAGAATTTTGAGATTTCAGATGGACATTTTTATTTATAAATGGTTGGCATGGGTTTTTAAGCTATTATAATAATAATAATAATGATGAAAAAAAAAATATTTGGCTTTACTTTTTAAATATAAATTATATTTAATGGGATTAAATAAATTAATTATTTTAATCAAGCGTAGGTTGAATTAAGCAAAAACGACAGACTTGGTATAACTTTGATACTTTAGAGATAAATCATACACTTACCGCAGGTTAGGTAGATAGCCTACCTGATAATGTACTGCTGCGATTCAGAATTTTTATTCCGGGCAACGGAAAAGATAAGATAAACTTTGAACACCGTACACCGAATATTAAATAAAGAATTGAACAAAGTTTGAGTCATATAGAGTTGATACATTTAACGGGCAACGAAGTGCACGGGATCAGCTAGTTATATTATAAAGTGAAGCCATAATGCCATATATAGGTACTATCATGAATGGAATTTTATATTATCAATTGTTATAGGTAACTAGAGCTTTACTATAGATAAATAATAAATAAATAAAAGAATTCTTTACGTTTTCGATTTCGCTCTCGGTGGAAACCTTTGTAGCTAAGATTGAGAATATAGTCGTAGCTATATTTCTACCATTTTTTACGTTTTGGACAAGCTCTGTGAAATATTTGCCGAGAAAGAAATTCATAGCAGTGATCCCATTCGACGTCGAAGACAGAGCATTAAAGAAGTCCTCGTAATCACTTGGTTCAATTGGACATTTGTCCTCCATTATTAATGTCAAATACCTATAAAACACGTAAAATATACTATTTAGTATTTTGGATATGAATTAATTTATCACTCGTTGTATTTCCATCATCGCTAACTATTAGGTCATTCGTTCCAAATAATACTGCATGGGTCTTACCCATAATATTTCGAACCCTACTACTAACTGAACATAATATAGTACGTGTAATAACTCAAGTATTTTTAATTTTGAGTTACAAGTCGTCTATTTTCATATACTTATATATTATATATTTTTTTGTTGAACAAAACGGCAATGATTATTAGCGTACAGTAATTTGATAACATTTATTTTTTTAAATAATATTATTTTTTTTCTCAAATATTTTATAAATTAAATAATATAATTCTATACCTATATAATTATTGTTATGAAATATGACTATCCAAATTAAGGTTGGACATAAAATACTTTTTGTGCAGCTGTGAGCATTTTAAATATTGCACACAATCGTTGAACTCGATTATTATAGAAGGCCTAATTTTTGAGTTACTTCACTAATTTTTTGGCATGTGTTTATCGTCCAAACTATAGAATATTATAATAATATGGTCACAAAAAAAAATTTGTTCTCACGTCAAAAGTGTCTGTATGTCAGCACAAGGCAGTGCGTTAATCACCGACGCTCTTTCCGAATACGTTTTGGTGGTATTGTATAAGTGTAAAAGTTTGTCCAGACTTCCTGAGACTTGTGACTGTCGAGCCCCGACACAGAACGCCGCGTCCTTAATGTCAGCCGGTATTCTATAACGGATAAAAACACACACAAGCGTATGGGCTTATAGTTATTATTTTACGTTTCACCTATAAAATACATTGTGACGATCGAATGCACGACCACGCTGATGATAATAATATTATTGTTATTAATATTATGAACTAGGATTTACTCTTCTCCATTTTTCCATCGCCGAAAGTATTCCGGAACCGTAGTCCTCCGATAGATAATATACTCGTCCAATTTACTCGCCCACGTCGCAAATGTGTTCCAGCCAACATTGATGGGGTACTGGGGACTTTTTTGTTCGGCGACGAGTTTGTTGAACATTTTGAAGGCAGTGCTGGCTAGGTTGGAAACAACGATCTGTGTGAACACAAATGCAATTTAATAGGATTCGTGAGAATATTACATCATAATAAAATAATATTATGCTGCGACTTAAACTTATACCTGATTACATTTTGAGTAATATTTATACGATTTTATTACTTGGTATTCGTATAGTGTTGCAGGACTAAAATAATTTATTTCAAGAATGTCGAGAATGTTCAACGAATGTGAATAGGTGTGCTCTTAAATTTGCATTATTAATGCCCTTTAATTAATTGTTACGCTCATGTTAATTATGCATACGTTACAAATTGTTACTTGAAAATGTATTCATAGCGTGTCACAATATTGTCATTTTATTATGTTGCGTTTAAGCAAAAATTAAAAATTAAATTTTTTTTAAAGTTGAATATTATATACATTGTACAAGTTTGCAAGTTATTATGGTTTATTCTATCAAAAATAAAAATATAAAACTGAGGAAGTCGCTTTTATCGTCACATCTTAAGTTCAATACTTATATAGACATAATAATATTATATAGTTAATGCAGACCGTAAATAATAAATATAAAGCATTGAACTAATTCATTAAAGATTAAAAATTATTCAAAATTTAATGGGAAATTTCTATTAAATCGTATCGTAAATTAGATACACGTTTACTCAATGATATGTTCATCATAGAATATACAACTGCAAAAAAAAACTCATTTAATAGATTATCTGGTACTTATCTATAAATCTATAATATACAAAGTTTCTTTCTGACCATACTGTATCTATGTGATTTTTCATCAAAATAATTAACAGTGACGATAACGGAATTGTATACTATTATTACACTATTATGTAATACCAGAATATGAGTAAAATGAATTTCAAGGTGATTCCCACCTTGACATCGGGTAACGCATTTCTGCAACGCCTCATACGGTTTAAAACATAGTTTAAACTGTCCATGGCCGAGAACCATGGTATTATGTCATCTTCCTTTTCCAGATACTGTGTAAAGCTCATTGGTATCTTGTAATTCAGCAGACCCGCTTTTGCCAAACTGAACGAATCGTCAATCAACTGAGCTCTGTTGAGAATGTGTATTTCTTTAGGTGAATCGTTAAACTGTTTGATCAACGACAACCAATTGTCTTCCGTGTAGTTTACTCTGTAGAAACCTAACGCGAAAATAAATATCTAACTAATACAATATCATAACAATATTATGCTCAATGGCTTGAGCCCAGAAGTTGAAACGAAAGTATTATAAAAATTATTAACTAGGTAGGTAATCGTTCGCGAAAAAAAAGTAGTCCACCTGTTGATTGTATATTGAAAATGTACCATTCGACGTCATCGTCTACCGGAATAACCGTTTCGTTTACTGACGGATTCAGCCAAACGGTCGGGGCGGACTTGGTGTCAAAATTTTTTTCTTTATTCGTCGTGTAACTCAAACGAATAAACCACTTGGATGTATCATTTGACTCAGTAAAACCGGATAAAAAGCGTTGCTAAAAAAAAAAAATTAATTGCTTGTTGCGATTGTCGGGTTAGTTCTTACTTGAGTTAAGACGAGTGATTTGTCTTTTTTAATGACGTTCACCACGGGATATCCGGCTTGTTCCGTCCATGTGTTCATCACAGTGCGAACGCTGTGACCGTTCAAGCCGGACTTTGTCAGGTCGAATAGAGCATTGTCAAATGCGTTCCACAGTTTTTCTGGTTTCACTGAGGTATACCTATAATAATATGGTATTATAAAGGATGCTACCTACACCTATTAGATTAGTTTTCTCCGTATATCGTTATGAGCAAAAAGTTTTTACGTAATTTTTCTATTTCAGATATTTTTCAAAAAATATTATTGTTGTTAAAATGTTTTTAAGTTATTTTAAAATTATAATCATTTAAAAATTCTGAATATCTGAGAAGTATAATATACTTACTGGTTATGGGTCAGATACATATTAATGGATTTTTTGAACGTTTCTTCACCCACCCAATCGTTAAGCATCATCATGATTGCCGCGGCCTTCTGTCCGGACAACCTGTCGGCCGTGTAATAATCCGCATCCCCTGGCATGATTGCTGGCGCGGACAAAGGCCGCATTTGATTTTTGTCGTCATCCAGGGCCGGCCGTTGCTGGTCGACGATGAAAAAGTGCTCTAGTCGCCATTCCGGTTCCAACTGTCACACAATAATATGACATTATTATCATCTTCGCAACGATGTATAATATTATTAATACGTTATGAACATGCACGATGCGCGATCGAGGCAATGCCAACATAATAATGTGTGGTATAGACCACCTTTATTATTATACCACATAAATATTACCGTTGCGGTGGCAAAGTATTCCAAATAAGTAGCTAGGCCTTTGTTCAGCCACGCAAAGTCCCACTGGACCGGCGTCACTAAATTACCAAACCACTGGGTCGCCACGGCGTGTCCCACCGCTCTCTTCGCCGACATTATTGCCCTAGAGTTTGTTTTCATGTCGACAAAAATCGTTTTCTCCCTGCCAAACATGCCGTCAAAATGTTATTATTTTAGTACAAATACAGCTGTTCTGAATATTGTCCATTGGATGAGACTGAGTGATTACACTAAGTGTTAAGGGGACGTACGTTACAGTGACATTTGTTGTCTCCGTCTTACAAGCGCGTAACATAGTCAATTTTACTCTCAGCAGAACACGTTTATCTCCGTTAGTTAATAGTTTAAAAATTAGAGCGAATTGACCTTTTATACAACTTAAAGGTAGGTAGGTAAGACTATTATCTAGACAATGACATAGGCTTTTTATTATATTTTAATTTTAAAGTGAGTTATGTGTATTTTAAAATTGAAAACTGTTTGTACATCTTAAAATACTCATAACTCGCTTTAAAATTAAAATATAATAAAAAGGCCTATGTCATTGTTTAGATAATAGTCTTACCTACCTTTAAGTTGTATAAAAGGTCAATTCGCTCTATTTTTTAAACTAACGGAGATAAACGTGTTCTGCAAAGCGTAAAATTTGCTATGTTACTCACTTGTCAGACGGATACAACAAATACCAATGTAGAGTCCCCTTATAGAAATAAAAAAATTAAACTGGTCGAAAGTTAGTAGTTATTCATTAACTCATACATTGAGACACTGAATAGATACTCTCTGTAGGATGAATAAATTAGGTGATCACGATACGGCATTTTAAGGTATAATCTATGCATAACTCATAGTTCAAAAACCAAATAATATTTTTTTTTTTTTTATATTATCTAGGAATTTTTTATTTATCTAAATTACCCACATTTAGGTACTATTAATTTATTTAATGAACCGCTCAATGGCATGAATAAAAGATAAATAAAATTTAAAACTGGGCGATATTAAGTCTTAGATTACTATTGAATCGAATTTTAAAAATGAATGTTTCACTTGGAAGTATTGTTTAAACTCGAAATCTTTTTGATCTTCCAACACTATTATGAACAATAATATGATGGGATTCTCGGGCCTGTGTGAAAATGTTTTTATTATGTACCTTACCGGTATGTGGTTAATCCCCAATTATTTTCGACTTGCCGTAAGCCTAGTATCGGCATGGCTAACAAGTTCAGTTCGGGCATAGAGTATGGTATGCCAGTGTAATTTTCCATGACCCTCAAAATGTCAGGTGCCTCTTTCGTCATGTACTCGATCTGATACAAGCGACCCAAATGAGAGTACACATTGATCTCGCTCAAGCGAGTATTGTCAAATTTTTCGAATTCGCCGACGAAAAACGCAACCGAAGACGTGGACATGCACGGTGTCTGCTCAAAGTGAACCCATTTCCTGCTATGATATTCAACCGAACCATTCGCAAGTATCTCGTCCCTGCAATACAATATAATATGGTTTATAAGTTAATTTTTAAAAGACCAATTTATCGACAAATTGTAAATATGTACACTTCGATTTAAAAATATAATATATTATAACGTCATAACGTTGCTTGAAAATCGTGAACTTACTCCAAGTTAAACTCATAGGGGTTTTTTTTATTCATATTTATTTAAAAAACCAACAATACAAGACGAAATTACCATGCAATTATTTATTTCATAAACTGTTTGGTTTAAAACATCGACAATACGATACCTACATATTATAATAAATAAAGATAAAAACATCAATTTTAAAAATAGACTAATAAAAATATTTTTTATAAAAGTTGAAGTACCTATTACCTCCACTGGGAGGCTTCTTCACTCTGTTTTCCAGTATTTGTATTGCTCAAATTTGTAACAGATAGACTAATAAATAAATCTGAGAAAAAAATATTTTATAAAAAATATAATAAATACCTATTATATCAATATCACATAAATATACACATAAACTACAATAATCCACACATTTTGCATACACAAACCATACAAAATTTTTTTGAATAATAATCATTCATAATTTCCAACATTGGAAACTATAATAAACTATAGATGCACGATTTGTAAACCAATTATGTCGTATACGTAGTACCCGTAGTACCTTTTTTTCCCAGGAAAATACCACTACATGGATGAGTACCTACTATTGTTGTAATGATATGCGCCAATTGTTTTACTATTAGAAAACTCATTTGATTGTAGACTATAACAATATCTCAGATTAACTTTCCTCCTTTATATGATAATATATTTTAGTCAATTTTTACAATTTAATATTGAAAACTGTATTATTTGTAAGGATTAGTTAATGAATTAAGACACATATATTATACCACAATATTAGAAATCTCGTTTTGAAATTGTAAGGGCTACTTCACTGTTGGAACGTCGGTACTTTATATACCTACTAAATAAATTTGAACTGTTGCGTACTCCGAAATAATTTAATGTTGGGAGGGGGGGAGGAAATGTCCAATCTTTATGAATTCTTGATTAAGTTAATGAAATTAAAATCACAAATTATTTTTATTTTGAATTAATGCTAAATTTTATTTTTAAATCTGATCATAATATTATTGGGTATTCAATCTGTTCAGATGTGAATTTGTATTTTATAGTGATATAAAATTGTATTATACGAGGTACTTACTACCTATTACACACGAGGTATAAAATAATTGTTTACAGCTGGTTGTACATGAAATAAATATAATATTTTTTTAATATTTAATAATTTAATTTACGCAGAATATTGTTGCTACATTATTTTAAATTTAAAATATTTCTAGCCATAGGTATATCAGAATATTTGTAGGTGGTAGCATGACATTAAATATTAATTTACTCTAAATAATTCTTGAATTATTGAGGGTTTTAAAATGTTTTTTTCAATTATTATGCCATTTTGAAAATCGTCATTGGTTTTATAATATGTGTTTAATTTCTGCACGGTTCAATATGGTATAATACGGTAGTATATAGAAAAAAAATACCGCATTTTAACATTTCTATACTTACACATGAATGGTATCTATAACTGGCATATTTGATAGAGCGATTTCATTCTCTTTAACTTTTATTGATATGTTGAAAGGTGTTCTAAAATTTGGTTCATCATAACAAGGGAAAGTACTTCTGGCCTGTGTGGTTTGAAATTGGGTGGCGGCTATCCATCTGAAAAAAAAAAATGATTAAAATAAATAGCAAACTATTAAATGTTTTAATTATATTTAGGAATATATAAATTGCTGTTAATATAGTTATATAGTTTTCAATATACTTGAAGTTGAACACTGCAATTCAATATAGTTAGTTCAAATATAGTCTCCATTCTGTATTTTTTGCATCAATTTATTACACCTGAATGTATTGAGTATGTACATTGGCTTAAAACAGCAGCTTAAGGTTTTATTGATCAATATAATTTATATACAAAAAAAATAAAAAATGTATAATTAAGCTTACTTTTTTCCATCCGAATCGGTTTCATAACCGCTTTTATAAAAACCCGTTCCGTCGTCCCTGAGAATGCCTTCAAACTTTATGCGGATCGTGTATCTTCTGTTGGCCAAGACGTGCCCGTCCATCGATATCACCACCTGTTCCCGATCTTCCGCGTAACTCCAAGAGCTTACACTGATGTCCCTGTCCGTGTTTTCATCCGTCACCCTGATGTCGTGCAACACTAAGCCCTTAGAGTTCAGCGTGATGGTGGAAGTGGCTGTCATCACTGCGATTGTGATATCCACGCTGCCAGAGAACGAAGCGTTTTCCGGTTCGAGGTTCGGTTCTACTCTCAGCGCGTATGACCGTGGTTCTGTGTTATCCGGTAACCGTCCGGAATCCACGGTCTGGCCATCGTAGCCCTGGACAAGGCAAAGAACTACGATAGAAAACACCGTCGCCCACAACATTGTAGCGAACAACCACGGTGTTTGGATAAATATTGGTAACTGCAGCACTGTACTGTAAAAAAGTGTGTCGAAATGCAAATACGACTATACAATTAGTAATAATATATATTAAAAATTGCACTAGAACAATAAATTCGCTATAATCTTATCTATTGTAACGTCCGGAGGAGTTTTCGTATTCGCGTCACGATGTATCGACATGTTTGGACACTTCAAGTAAAAAACACCATTCGTCATTGCAATATTAAACCTGATGAATAAAAAATTATTGTTATATTGTGATCGTGAAATAACAAGTAGGTAAGACTGTAAAAGTAGGAATTACGACCCTATATATGAATGATTTTTTTATTTTTTTTTAGCATACGTATTTGTCACCTGGTAAGTTACCTACTTACTTAGGATTTACATAATATTTCCTATATTCCCACACGTGGTTAACATTTGTAATAAACTTACTAAAAACAGTGACCTTGTGTCTTTAAGCCTTACAAGTTAAGTTTATAATGTGCTGGCATTGTGAATGCGATTACGTCATACAAATTAAGTAAAATACGTTTGTAATATTATGTAAATATTTCCATACCGTATCTATTCGTATCATTATACGAATGTTCTAGATTAAATAGTTATCACTAAGCCAGAAAGTTGTAGGAGTTGCATGTTTTTATAAACATTTTCTTATTTATAGCGGACCAAGCTAGCTGAAATCCATTCTATACAATTACGAGTTTGAAAACGAACATTTAAAATTTGATACTTTTACGTACTTAATACATTTTAGGAAAAAAGTTTATAATTCTTAATTTTCATCCACATTTAATATTACTAATTTATTTTATTATCGTCTGTGTACTTTATAATCAATTATTCAAATGATTTTTTCAGACTTGCAAAGTTTCAAACAGCAAATTTTACCACTTTAAGTACCAAAACTTTTTGACAATTTCATATTTTTATATCACAGTGTACCGTAAACGCCGTGACGACGTATTGTTTTTTTTGTAAATCTATAGTCTTTTAAATTTTAATAATATCTATAGAAATAACATAGTTTTTTTTAATAAAAAATAATATTTTATATCCTAAAATTATGTAACTTATAATTGACAAGTTCTAATTTATGTTTTGAATTGTCATAACTTTTATTTGCATTTTGAGTACATATTTTCCGTTTGTTTTTGGTTTTTATTTTAACTTCCTAACCATCACAATTCATAGTACAATATTATGATTATATCCACTGTATCTTTAATCGATAATAATAATTGTGTAACATTGTGCATGACGTGTATAGTAGAGGTATTATATTATGTCTTCCTTAGTTATGACAAACAATCATTAAATAATAAATTATAACTACTATTATTATGTTATGTATATACAATTATTAATTCTTCATACTTATGTTAAAAATATTTATATTCGTAGTCAATAACCTCTGTTGTTGGGGCTTATTTCTAATAAAAAGAAAATAAATAAATTATTAACTTACCGTATTAATTATTCTAATATGCACTACATACATTATAATTATTAATGAACTGTTTTTAGTGATGTTATATAATATTGTAACGAACACTAATAATTATCACTTCAACAAATAAAGTACAATAACACACGTTTCAAGAATGTGAAAAAATTACCTATAAATATTTGCAAAAATACAATGCACATTGTACAAATAATTATTCAAAAGTAAAATATTTCATCTAGGTACCTACATTATTTTTAAACTAGTAATTTTCTACATAAATTGTATAATTTTAATATATTGTGTATCAATAGGAAATATTATAGTTGAAGGAATCGATAATTTTAGTCGACTCCAAATATTTGTCTTGACATATTTAATGTTGATAATATTATCATAAAAAGGTGGGCAAGCGGATATCGTTCTGCTGTAGGTGCAGTAAGGTTATAAGTGGGTCACTGTAATGGATGATGTTAAATTTTAATCCAATAATATAATATTATTGTATACGAAAAACGATTCTGAGGGAAGATGGTCAGTCCGCCAATGATATCTCTAAGTATATTTGATGATATTATTGTGAATAAAGTAATTTATTTATGAGGAACCTTGTTTTAAAATTGTAATCCTCAGCTATAAAAGTTGAACATTTTATACATTTTTACTAAAAATCATTTTTAATCATTTCTGCTTAATTATATCTATATTATTTTATATTTTTATCCCACTGTTTCTACGATTTAATATGTAATAAAATTACAACAATTTTATTAAGATATTATTATTCATACGGCTCTCACAGAAATGATTAACTTGATGTCATTGAAATATAGTATTTGAATAAAACCATTGACATTTTGTATTGTTTAACATAGCCACTCAATCTTTGTGGCCTACCTGAAACCAGGGTGTCATCTCCTAACCTGAAACCTAACCTAACCAAGGTATTATCTGGGCCTGAGTTGCTTAAATAAAAGGGCACGTCTTTCAATACCTGAGAATTTATAACTTTGTATGGTGATCAATTTTATGTTTGGTTGTAACTATAAATAGCTTAATATAATGTTCTTAGAATAGTATAAATTTAGAATTTAGGTCTAACTATTTTATTCAAAAATACAGATTTTGGTTAATACACACTTTAGCTTTAATGCAAAACGTTAGTGCAAAATCAAAAATAGAACCATACTTTTATTCAATGAACCAAAAGTCCTTACCAAAATCAAAGTTTTGAAATTTCGTTAAGATTTATAACATGAATAATGTATATTTTTATATTATGAACTATGAACATAGCTATATAGGTATAACTGTAAAAATTATTACTATCACATAATATTATACGAGTACATTAGACGTACATTTATAATTTTACTGATTTATTTTTTTGCTATAATTTACCATAAATTGATATGAATGTATGATAAAATATAAATAAAATAAATATGTGTTTAATCTATGCCTTATATCGAAAAGTAAAATAAACAATACGGTGTTATAATAAGACCATATAATTGGCATAATTTGCTTAGAGTAATCTCTTACGCAAATAATTACTACCTATATAGTAGGTACTGTAGTTCAAATTTCAATAATTACTATATTTTATTAATTAACTACTATTAATTACTTTGATATAAATAATATTTATTATAATTCTAATTTAAATTTATATTGAATAAAATAAAATGCAAAATATTTTATTTTTGATTTGTTTGAAATTTTGAAGATCCTTAACAATAATCCTTAATACTATAATAATAATAATACAATTAAAATATCAGTTTATATTTTAAATTGTTTAAAATCAAACATTATTTGTTTTACTAAAGGTTGAACCGAATGAACGATTATTAAGATAATTTATTGGATACGTTACACAAAGTACGTATAATTAATCAAGAAATTTATTTATTTTTTTAAACGGAAAAATCTTATTTATTTTTATTAACATTATAATGTCAGGAATATTAAACATTGACTAGGTATTAACTCTTGGTAAGTATAATGAATTGGTGTTAATCAAAAAATTAAATAAAAATTTAAAAATAATAACATTTTTGAACATATTTTATTGAATTTGTTCCAATACCGCATGAGAAAATTGGCCAACATTAATTACTCATTCGATTAACTGTATACAGAACTAGTTTTAATAAAAAAAACTAAAGAATTTTTTTACTATAATTTTATTTATCAACAGGACAAATATTGTGATAAATTAAAACTTACCAAAAGAAAATTAACAAATGCTCAGTAGATTACAGAAAATCAAATCAAATAAAACTGAATTTCTTAGAATAGTTTACAGAGAAATATTCACATTGTTACTGAAAACATTTTTCCTAGCAAACTTATTCCAGAAAAATACTGTGCCCATTAAAAGAGCACTAATTACTAACACAATTTCGAAAATAAAATTAAATGTATAATATGCATAATATGGTTGTCCATAAAACTGTTTAGTGGACATAATTTTAGTCACTGATTTATATGTTGAAGTTGTATATTGGGTAGTAGGCACAAAAGGTTCCGATGTTTGGACATGTTCTGTCGATGTTTTACCGTATGTTATAGGAACAGGTTCAACTGGCGAGCTAGACTCAGTATCAACAGGGGAGGAAGTGGATTCTTGTGCTTCCGAAATTGTACTAGAAGACACTGATGACGAGTCTGTAGTAGCAGGGGTGGAAGTGGATTCTTGTGCTTCCGAAATTGTACTAGAAGACACTGATGGCGAGTCTGTAGTAACAGGGGTGGAAGTGGATTCTTGTGCTTCCGAAATTGTACTAAAAGACGATGATGACGAATCTGTAGTAACAGAGGTGGAAGTGGATTCTTGTGCTTCCGAAATTGTACTAGAAGACACAGATGTCGAGTCTGTAGTAACAGGGGTGGAAGTGGATTCTTGTGCTTCCGAAATTGTACTAGAAGACCCTGATGACGAATCTGTAGTAATAGGGGTGGAAGTGGATTCTTGTGCTTCCGAAATTGTACTAGAAGGCAATGATGACGAATCTGTAGTAACAGAGGTGGAAGTGGATTCTTGTGCTTCCGAAATTGTACTAGAAGACACTGATGTCGAGTCTGTAGTAACAGGGGTGGAAGTGGATTCTTGTGCTTCCGAAATTGTACTAGAAGACACTGATGTCGAGTCTGTAGTAATAGGGGTGGAAGTGGATTCTTGTGCTTCCGAAATTGTACTAGAAGACACTGATGACGAATCTGTAGTAATAGGGGTGGAAGTGGATTCTTGTGCTTCCGAAATTGTACTAGAAGACACTGATGACGAATCTGTAGTAACAGAGGTGGAAGTGGATTCTTGTGCTTCCGAAATTGTACTAGAAGACACTGATGGCGAGTCTGTAGTAGCAGGGGTTGAAGTGGATTCTTGTGCTTCCGAAATTGTACTAGAAGACACTGATGGCGAGTCTGTAGTAACAGGGGTGGAAGTGGATTCTTGTGCTTCCGAAATTGTACTTGAAGACACTAATGACGAATCTGTTGTAACAGGGGTGGAAGTGGA